AATTATACAAATTTTGTTTAAACAAATTTAAAATTTATATTTCTGTGATCCAATTTTCTCTCCTCATCTCTACCTTCTCTTTCTCTCCCTCATATCCAACTCCTTTTCGCCAACCTCCCTCTCTCTCTTCGCTCTCCTCCTCTCTAATCTTCCTCTTCATCTCTCTCATACCCAATTCTCTACTTTCTTCTTCTTTTGTATTCAATTTTCTTACTGTTTTTCTTATCCTTTGTACTCAACAACCCTCTTCCTACTCCCACACTCACTCTTTCTAAACTCTCTTTTCATTCTCCTCAACTTTCCACATAATTGGTTTTGTTCCTTCTCTTGCACTTCTTCCTTTTGCAAAGATTAAGTAAATTTTGTATAATTTTTTTTTATAATTTTATGCATTTTTCTTAAACAAACTCACTTTTTGTTTAAGGAAATGAAACTATCTGAATCTAAATAAAATAAAATTTTATATTTATTCTCTATGATGTCTTGTTTGTTTCTATAAAATAATGGATAAGAAAAAAACTCTCATAAAAAAAATTCTATAAAAAAAGTAAAAAAGTGAAACTCAAATAATAAAAAGAGTAAGAAAATAATGAAAGTCTACAAAATTTGACAAGATAGAAAATTCTAGAGAAAATAAAATCTCTATTTTTTTTTTAATTTTACCCTATATATGTCACATTTAACAAATGTTCACTATTTTATAGGACAATTACATATTATTAAATGTAAAAATTTTATTAAAATAAAATTTTAATCAATAAATAACATTAAAAAATAACACATAAATTTATCTTATATACTATTTGTGTCTTTATAAAAAAAGTTCGTATATAATTGTAATTAAGATTTTATTTTTTTAATCATAGGAGTAACTGAGATTGAAGTATATATATATATATATATATATATATATATATATATATATAAAAGAATGATCTTACATTTGTATAAGTTTAAAAATTCTTATAAAGTTTTTTATTGAACTTACATCTAACTATTAATAAAGAAATAAATTATAATTCGTTAGATTTAAATTAAATAAAAGATTTAAATTAAATATAAGAAAATCATATTTCATATGTATATGTATATATATATATATTTTCTTAGGTTAATTACTTAATAAGAATGATAATAATGAAAGACTTAGATTAGTTGTAAGAGTTTTTAAATTTATAATAATGTAAAAAGATATTTTTTTATATTATAATATTTTCTTATAATATATAAGAGCAAGCAATGGAAGAGCGAGTTCACATATATATTTACGTCTGAGTTGTCACAAAGGAACTATTATATATCTCAAGTCACTTGCAGTTCAATTTTGAGTGTTGTGGAAACTCATCAATCAACAATGGAGCAAAGTAATGGAAGGATGACGGAGAAGAAGATAAGCGAAGAAGAAATTTCAGAAATGTCAAAAATAACAATTGAAAAAGTTAAAGAATTCTACCCTCGTCCTCGCGTGCGTCAAACCACAGTACGTTGTTTTAAAGATATGACTTCGAAGGGCTACGGCTGGCTTATTCCTGGATGGATTGCTGAAGAACGCGTTGTTAAAAGTGGAAGAGTCTATAGGGTAATTAATCATCCATTATTCAATTTTTCTTTAATTAATTCAGGCTCATGTTATACGTTGTAACATTATCGCTGAGCTTAATTTATACGTTGTTTGTGCTTGCAGTACTACTATGACCCGGATGGGCGTTTCTATGAAACCCAGAAAAAGGTGATAGATACTTGGGAGAAAGCTGGGATCATTGTCATCGACAAATAGATCAACAGGTTCTTATGTATATGTATGTTGTTGGTTTTATAATCTGCATGCACGCAGCTTTTATATGTTAATGGAAATTCTTTTCTTCTTTCAACAGGTCTTCTTTGTGCTATGACTCCGGCTTGGGGGGATTCGGAGTGCAAGTTGCTTCAAGTGTTTTTGTTGTTGGTTTCCTTTAGTGTAGGTTAAGAAAAATAATGGAGTTTAGTTTATGTGTAATTCTGGGTAGTTTCGATGTGTTCAAGGTTTATGTTGTTCCTCAAGTACTTTTTGGTTTGAATTACTAGATGTCGGTTAATTAATTATCTTGCATTTTAATTTTCGGTCATCTTGTTCTCTTTGATTTCTGAATCATGCCTTACATACACACTGGTAGTTCTTTTATCTGTACATTTACACACCATGCCAGTTCAGATCATTGCTCGAGTCTTGTTTTTTCATCTGGATTAAGAACGTTAATACGAACGACTCTTTTTAACAGTCCTTATATATATATATAAATTCTAATTGAACCCAAAAACAATTATTTTAAGAATTATGCATCTTCCTACTTGAAATGACACATTTTAATTTTTAAAACTTACTGCAAACAACAATATGAAAGAAAAATATAACAAGTTAGACAAAGTGTGCATTTGAAAACATTATGAAAAACTTTTAAATGTAAATGAAATGCTAAAACTATAATTAATAATGTCAAATAAACGTGAATTTATTACCTATTAAATACGAAATTGAATACCCTAAAAATTTATTTATTTGCATCAATAAATGCATCTAAGTTGGAGGAGGAAAAAACGCTAATTAAGATTGATACTTTCTAACACACGTAAATTGAAAAAACAGATAATAAAACAATTTAAAGGAACAAGCTAGCTTTTGATTCTTTTAATTAATCAGATTTTTTTTTCAAAATTATATTAAATTTATACTGTGCAGAATAGGACAGATGTCCCCAACTGACTCCATGCTAACGTTCTTTGTATATATTTAATACATTAATACAATTTTACTCTAATTGTAGTAAAAAAAAAAAAAAGTATATGAATTAATATAAATTCTTGAACACCAGCAGGGCCACAAATTGAAAGGTGGTTTTGGTGTTTTGGATTCTTGCTGGGCAATTAAGCTGGTGAAACGTAAAAGGTTATTATAAGAACACTTTTATCCGTGAAACCTCCATTGATGCTTCCTTATATGGGACCCCCTCACAAATAACACTGCTGAAAAAACGGTATAATTTTTTAATTTAATTACTTTTATTTTTGGAAAAAATCTCATGTTTTAGTATATAATATTTTTAAATTAATAATAAATAGTGTATCATAAAAACTATGTTACTAATATTAATATAATATATGAAGGGGTAGCTTTACATGGAAGACCAACTCATCACTTCTCTCTCAAAAAACGAGGATGTGTGCGTTACAAATGTCTGAAGCTGTCTCTAATACTGTGTTTTAAATGTTTGCATAGATAATAGTCAAGTTATTCATTAATGTTATTATTTAACTTATTTTTTAATATATTGTTATCATGTAATAACATTAACATTTGTTTTTAAAAAATATAAATATATTTTAATAAATCTTAAATAAATAAAAACAAACGGTTATAATACAGAAACAACCATAAAACATTCAAGACCACGTTTATGTTTGGTTTGAATTTTGTTTCAATGGAAACGGGATTTAAGGAAAACTGAAGATACTTACTTCAGGCTTGTTTCTTTCTCTTATAAAAAAGTAATTCTCATATTTTTCAATGCAAACCACATATTTTAATAAAAACATATAATTTAAATTAATTTTTACATGTATTTTAATATATCTAACGTTACATGATTAATTTTATTCAAATTCATTCAAATATGCGTATTTAATGACACAAACGAATAAATTAAAAAATATATTAAAAATATTATATTTAATGTTATCAATGTATTGAATGTTGTATTATTTTATTATTTATAATAAATTTATTGTACATAAATTTTTATTGGATGTCCTTGATACCTTAGAAAAATTTAATATTTCATATTTTTTTTACACTAACAATTTTATTTGTGTTCTTTTTATTTTATTTTATAAAATCAGTGAACATTTAATACCTTTTTATGAATTTATCCTCAATAAAAATACTTTTTCAGTAGAAGACGATAAATAAATGAGATATTAATTAATATAGATGAAAAATATAATAGAAAGTTCAATATTTTTTTTATAAAATTTAGAATATCAGTTATTTTTTAAAATTTCTATATAAAATCTTAAACATCAAATAAAAAAATGAAAAGAGTATATGGCATTATGTATACTTATTTATGTACTTAAGAAATTATTTATTATAACGTAGGAAATGATTTTAGTATGAGCTCATCTGGATTCAATTTTATTATTCTCATTATTATCAAATACAACATTCTCTCTTTTATTGTGTTCTTTTTCTTTTGACATATTGATAAAATAAAAATATAAATTAATGGAATAACATCTAGCTTCATTAGAAAAATATTAAAATTTCTTTGTTATTGAAATAACAAATATGTAATTTATAATTATATTATTATATAGATGAATATATGTATACTAAAATGTATCAATTTAATTGAAATTCAATGGACTTATCAAAACCCAACCTGGCAATGGGTTTTGGAGGCTTTATATATATATATAAAATACTAAAATATAATATTTTTAAAAAATTATAAAAATATAACATATCTTTAAAAAATTATAAAAATATAACATATTTTAAAAAAAATAATTTTTGCATTGTAAATTATAAAAATATTTTATGCTTTCTAAAACAATTATCACTACTAATAAATAATAGAGTTAGTTATTTAATTAAAAAAGACGTAAATATCTTTTTTTAAAAAAAAAAATTACAACAGTTAATTTTAAGAATTATAAAAAAAAATACAGTGTTCTTTTAAGTATAATTTTCTCAAATTATTATTGACAATTTTTAATTATTTAAATATTTTTAAAAAATCATTATTCATAAATTTCAAAAGTTTATAATTTTTTTTTTTTTATTCTATCTCTAAATTTGCACTCAAACAACAATTTTTGAACTTCATATTTCTATAAACGTTTTTAAGATATCATATTTTAGTATTTATTATTTTTAAATATTATATAAAAAATCAATTTTGGATAAGAAGAGATATTCTTTAGGAGTTGAAAACAAGATAAGCACACATGAAACCTAAAATATAACAAGTTGAAAGTGGTCTTTTTATTAGTTATTAACTGTAACAAAATGGAAAATATTTTTGTTCATCACTCAAAATTAATCATAAGAATATATATTGAAAGATTGGAACAGAACATATGGTACTAAAATTCCCAGACCCAACAAATATACGAGGCAAGGAATAATTATAAGACATAAATGGTCCACAGAGCCTTGTGACAGTGGCTGTGCACCAACCAAAACTTTGACTTAGCAATTGTGACACCTCAAACCCAGACAAGAAACAAAGAACTGATGCATTATAGAATGGTTTATTGTTGCTAAGGATTCCTATATGAACCTGTCTCTTGTGAACCAGACTTATTAGGTAGCTAAAGGAAGATTTTGAGGAGGTTAAAAAAGCCACAAAATTCTGTATCTTTTTCATTCACTTGATCATCTCTTGAGAACTTGAATAAAGCCAAAATCTGTACATGTCAAATGGGCCTGAACAAGGAATGCCTCCATCTATCAGGCTTCATCCTCCAATTACTTTCACTGCTTCTAGCCTTCAACATTCGCTCCACTTCCATTCCTGATTGAAGACATGATTGCAGCCTCTTCAAATGTTCACGGCATTGTTCATGGTCGAAGCAATTGCCTTCGCTAATGTTATTTCCTTCTGAATTTGTATATCTTTCGTATGGTGATTGCCACTTGGCTTGCAAATATGCTAAAGATCTCCATGGAGGAAGGGGCATAGAATTCTGCTTCAAAGAAGATCTAGTAGCCTCCTCCATTATTCCAAGAAATTGTTTCAGCCTGGTAAAGGAACCCACGTAAACAACCGGAAGCGAATTCAGTATCCTATCATACGAATCAACAGCTCTAGCTATTTCAAAGTGGCTTCGGAAATCTATATCAACAATCAATCGCTCTGAGCTTGCAGAGTTATTTTCGACCACAACATCAATGTATTCATGATCACCTGTGCCACAAGTTTGACCGAAGAAAGGTCAGCTGAAAGCGTGAGGAAAAACAAGTCCATATTGAACCAGTGGAAATGTAGAACAATGAAATGTACAAGACTACATAAGAGTGTGCCATTTCACTCTCTCTTGACAGTCATAATATTCCTTAATATGGTAAAAAGCACTTGATGCAGACAATGCATTAAGATTCATATTTAGCACTGCAACCAAACGAATGGGGGATGCTTAATGATGGATGTTACATCCATGGTGCAAAAGTAGAATTGCAATTTTGGTAAAATCAGAAAAAATATAAATATAAATATCGTGGCATACCTCCAGGGACCCTGCCACTACCCTGCCATTTAGATGCACAAACACCAGCATCATAGCCAGAAAGTCTCATCAATTTCACCAGATAAAACCTGATACAGCTAGCATAACAAGGACCAGAATTCATAACTTGAAGGTTGGTCTCATTCATTGATCGTATGAGGGAATGAACAACAGAAAGCAAGTCACTCTCATGTTGAGCCACCGATAGCTTACAGATCTGCGTCATGAAACATGAAAGATGGTCAGGGAAGTTGTTAAAAATATTGTTTGTGTTAAGTGTAAAGTAAATTATTAATGGGAAAATACTCTCTTGCACAGTCAACTATATAAAGGAAATTATATTTCTTTGGTGCCTATTTTCTATTTTCCATATTTTATATTGTTTCCTTGTAAAAAATTGAATGTGGCAATGTCATGAGTTTAAAAGAATCAAGAAAGAACTTCCAAGCAGACCCGAAGAAAATGGGAGCTCCCATGTTGCAGTTTCTTGATCAACCAAAAACTCACATAAAAATAGAAAAATCAAAATGCGTGTGTCAAGAGTCAAGACTCTAGTACCTAATGGTAAAAAAGCTTGAATATCCAGATTAAAATTTAGATGTAAGAGCCACCAAAAATTTTTTTTAGAAGGCCATTTGAAATAGCTTATTTGAGCTTATGAAAGTGGCTTATGACCTTCCTACAAGTTCATTTTAGTTTAGTTCATAAGTTTCATAGTCAAGCTTATGAATAAGCTCTCATTTGATCAAAACTTACTAAATATAGGAGCTTAATTAAGATATTTACACAAGCATGCCCCCTAATGCATGTAAATGAAATCCAAGGTACAAGATATCACAAGCCTCAGCAAATAAATATTATAACTAAACTCAAGGAGGAAACTATTGATATTAGTAAATAGAACAACTAATCCTGGCTAATTCCAGTCATAATAGTGCCTGAGGAAATTTCTATCACAGCAATGCCAATGGAATAGCCCGATCAAAGACAAGAAAAAATACAGACAAATTATTGCTAAGGCGTCAATAACGGGTTCAAATTTGGTAAAACAAAAACTGAGTTAACCATTACCAAATATTCTATCCAAACTAAGACAATAGACCAAACATGCAACATTTAGCTCATGTTCCTGTAATCGTGTAGACATCACGTACAATCCACACCCAAATGACACAGTGGTATGCCTTTAAAGTTGCCTTTGAAAGGGATTTAGAATTGGTTACTTCCAAAATGAAGTCATATAATATGTGGTCAGGAATTAAAAATTCAAAAAAGAAAAGAAATTATTATTACAATGCCCAAACATGAGTATCTAGGCAGATGCATCATCCACCTACCATGTTTCCAATAACAACTTCTAAGTTCACACAGCCTAAACATGTGTATCTAAGTAGATAAACCTACCATATCACACATTCAGCAAAAGTCGCAAAAGTCACAAAAGATAAACATTTTACTTAAACCATAATTTAAAACTTTTCTAATGAAAATCCAAACTAATTTCCATGTTAGTTTCTGCCACCAAAACAACAACAACAACAACAACAATAATGACAACATTGTTTTCTTAACAATTAATCAACAACTCATTAGACAAAAAAATGAAATGAAAAGTTGAGGTTCTTAATTACCTGAATCTTCTCAGCTAGGTGAGCAAAATCAGAGAGACCAGAATCGCTATCACTGCTGCACCAAGACTCGGCACCACTGCTTCCATTCTCTAAAAAATCACTAACCATCAAAGCCAAGTCATGTTCGCTCTCATGGCTAAACCCACCACCGATCTGGCCGCCTCCGCCACCAACCCTCACCCACAAATCGCCGCCGGGGGAAACACAAACCCTACAGTCCATTTCGCCACCGCCAACGGCGTCGTTTCGAGCACCCCAAGTCCCCAGCTTCTCTCCAACTGTCACAACCAAACGGCACCGTTTCTAACAATCAACAGCACAACGCAAAAACACAAGGCTTCACCATGGTCATAACCGAGGCCTAACAACCACAAAAGCGAAATTCCTCGTACACCCACGATTCCTCAACCTCAAATTCGGCTACCCAATTGAACGCGTGACACAATTCGCTAGAACCGATCAAAATTTCGATTTTTTGTTTTAACGGAAGACTTTTAAAATGCAAAATTATATTATAACTTTTCCATGTCTACGGTGAATTTGGCTGGGAGAGTCTATGAAGAATTGAAAACGAATGAGAATTAATAAGAAAAATTAAAAGAAAAAAAAATGGCCTTTCGATCCGAAGGGGAAGAAATTCGAATGGCAAAGGGAAAAATGATTCCTTTGCGAAATGAAAACCCAAAAGATTGGAAGGCGAGTTAGTCGGAGAAAGAAGGCAATATAAAAGGTTTAGGTGACATGTAATGACCAATCTACCCTGTCAGTTACTTGGAGAAGTTATCTTTCTTGTTTGGCCTATCACAAAATTTAACATTAACAACTCTGAGAATGTTGTAAATCAGCATTCTAAAAATAAAGGTAATAAATAATAATTTTTTATTAAAATATATCTTTATATGATAAAAGTAAAGACTTTTCTTAGATATTTATTAGTAATTTTTAATAAAAATAAATCAATCTATTCTATATAAAATTTAGTAATGTTATTTAATGCCTTTAAAACATTGATTAAAACAATATTTTTATTACAAATGTGGTAAAAATATTTTTTAAAAAGTCTTAGTGAATTTTAACACAATCTTAAGAAAAATATCATAGTGTTCTTTAAATATTTATATATTTTTAAATAAACATTTTGTGTAAGAAATTTGATTGATATTGATATTCACTTCGACTTAAATTGAATTGTTTTTCTTGAATTTTGACATATGTTATTGATTATTAATTTATAATCGTATTTCAAACTAAATTTTTTATATTGTATTTTTGACGAATGTGTATGGTTTTTTGTTTAGTGTATGGTGAAGGAATAGTTATAATTTTCCTTTTAATGTTTTGGTGAAAAATATTGAAAGAAGTGATCTTTAAAACATTTCATGGATACTTTCAAAAAGAAAAGTTGATAAGTAGGGTTAGCCAGCAAGTTATTCCACCGTCTAGCTTTTCTGAGGGTATGTACTTTTCGCATGACCAATAATTAAGAAGTTAAAACTAATAGAAACTTTTAATTTTAAAAAAATAGGATATATATATATATATACTTGCATTTATTTCTTTGAACGCATTCATTTATAATTAAAATAGTGAACAATTTTATTGACTCCAATATTTAGAACTGGGTTTAAGTATATTTTAAAAATGATTAAAAATATTCAGATCAATGCATTTTGGGATGTGTTTGAATTTAGGAAAACCTACACGCACATCTCATAGTACTCTCATCCCTTTTATCAAAGCAAAAGTCTTCGTTCAACCCTCAAACAATTGACTTAATCAATTTTCAGAAACAAATTAGATTAGAAGAGCTTGTTCACAGTGGTCAAATAAGAACAAAAAATGTTTAAAAACACACGTAAAAGCAATGAGTTTATAAAACATGGGAGGTGGAGGCCAAAGCTGACCCATGCATTATATTTATGTTATAAAATCATATCATACAATAATTTATATAATATAAAGTTGTCTTATGTTTATGTTGAAGGAGGCAAGGTTGCATCTAGTTGAGAATTTAATTGCATCAACTATAACAGATTGAATTTGTTGATTAAAACTTGTATACCCAATTAAATTCGATTATTTGGATTCTCATGTCACTGAAAAAGAGATATAAAGTAGCAATTTGATTATTTCCACTAGGTTCATGTTTCATTCTTATTCTTGTATCCGGATTATGAATCCTCTTACTTTTCTTGTTTCAATCTACTCTCTCAAGCTGAATTATTAAATAAATTGTCAAGAAATATTATTATTATTTTTTTACATTTTTCGTTTTATTGATAAAAACGAAATAGAAAATAAAACATAAAAGACACGCTTATTGAATCATAATTCGACATTTTGTACCAGGCAAATTTTAAAATAAATAATTTATGTATGACTTTAACATTTTATTTTGAAAAATACTAACATTACCACTTAAATAATTTTTAATCAATATTAGCATGGTATTAAGTTGTGAATAAACGTCTCTCAAGGGCATTGTCGTAAATACAAAAGCAAAGAAGATAGGATAAGTTTCGTGAGGACCAAGTCACTTTAAATAAAATTAATTAAAAGGTTTGAAAATGGAAACAGACCGAAAGTGATAGAAAGCAGATTGAGAGTTTAGATGAAGCTGACTGAAAGGGAACAACGAAGACTCCCCGAATTATCCGCAGATATTTATTCGTATTTGTTTATTATTTTATATATTTTAGATAACATTAATTTATAATTTTTTATCATATTGATATTTTCACTTAATTTATAAACAAATTTACATGCTTATCATTAACAAAACAATACAAATATTGAATAATTTTAATATAAATAATATATTATAAAAGTATATTCTAAGAGTGTACATATATCACAATCATTAAATTTTTTGAAGCTATATTTTAGTCTGTTTGTCTAAAATTTTGCCATTCAGCTAAATATTTTTAGTTTTGGATATAAAGTGCACTAAAACATAAATTGGAAAATGGATTTTTTTAATAAAAAAATGTAATTTAAGCGTGATAATTTTTATTTATATTTAACTAAAAAATTATCCATTGGGTAGGTCCACAGCATTTGTTGTTAATAGGAAAAAGAGGATGAGTGTGAGAGATAAATGTCGTTTCTTTATGGGGAAATGTTAGACGACACCAAACCATCAGCTTCAACTAGGTTGTTAATGGGTGGATTTGCTTGGTTAATAGAGAAAATAACTGGCTATACTAACTGAAATTGAATAGGTTATTATAGTTACTCTCTGGTTAATAATATTTATATGTTGATTATGCATAAAATTTTAGATAAACTAAACATCTGTAAATACATAATTTCATTATCAACATTTATTTATATTTTATAAAATACATAAAATGTTAAAATAAGATAATTTGACAAAATAACATGAGATTAACGAATAATTTTAATTTTTATAATAATTTATTTCAATTTAATCTCTTCAATTTCAATCACTGCAATAAAATCTGTTAATTTTTATAATTTATTACAATTCAGTATTTTTATTAAATTTCTAGTATTTTCTCAATCATTAAAAATTGTTTTAAATATTTAAATATATATTAATTATTATATTTTAAAATGATAAATGTTTTTGACTAATTACTCGTCTTCAACCTTATGGTGAAACATTTGTAGAAGACATTATAATGGGCAGAATAGAGAATAGACAGCATGCATGTGCACAGCACGGACAACAGACACCGACCTCATTTGATGAGTGATTAGCCTATGATTTATGATGGGGACACGCAAAGCATCTTCTGAGTATGAATCCTAAGTAAAAATGGGGTGTCAGCATTTATAAACATGACAGGGAGATGAGAGAACATTTTGCAGAGAATTCCAAGGAGAGAGAATAAGGTACTTCATTTGGACCACTGTGACATCATACTTGAGCTGCCCATTTATTATAAGACCAAATTTAGATCCTCTACCTTATGAGTATTGTTATTTTCAATTTAATTATAATTTTATTTTCATAAGTTATATAATAAAAATTAATATTAAATGTTAATATATTGACATCAAAGTAATTATCGAATTAAGAAGTTAATATTAAATATTAATATATGAGATAAAATATTCTTACACTAATATATACCTAAAAGCTCTTATACTAAATTTTAATTTTTTATTAAAATTATATCTATTGAAGTATAATTTATTATTTCACTGTTAAATATAAATTAAATAAAAAATTTAAATTGTATGTAAAAAATTTTAGACTTATATTAGTATAATTTTTTTTTAATATATTGACAACTATATTTGAGTTTTGTTTTTATTAATAATCGTATAATTATGAAATTTTCATTAATAACAAAAAATTATATTAAAGAATACATTTTTTGAAAAGTTGTTATATTGTATTTTTAATATTATCTGTAGTTTTACTTATAATAATTAATTAATTAATTAATTCACTAATATAAAAAATTATTATATATCTTAAATTTATACTTTATTTAAAAGTTACTTACAATAATAATTAATATACATATTAACTAAATAAACGTGTATTATCATGAGTAAAATGTGAATATTTCTTTAACACAAATTTCATTATAAATAAATGTATTAAAAAAATTAATATTAGTATATTTAAACATTGATCTTTATTTTTGATAATTAGAGTTGTGGAAACTGGAAAGTCAACTGAAACGGATATAAAATTTATGATTGGAAAAGTATGACACCCTGCCTCCAATAATAAATGCCTCACCTACAAAGAAAGGAATTTTCTTTAATACACTTTCTTTTAAGTGATTTCGTTGGCTCAATAGCATATTAAATTATGAATAAAAGAGACAAAGAATATATAGTATAGTCACAAACTTTCATTTATAATAACAAAATGCAGGATTGAATCTATTACAATTATTTTTTTCCTTCTTTCTTTGTCTACTATATAACGAAATATACACTAAACTAAATGGTAAAACTTGTAGGTTATTTTAGTAAAATAAGATAAAAATTGTGAACTTGTAACTTCTAATTATAAAGCTGATTAAAGTTATGGATTTATAGCTAAATGCTTATAAAGTAGTTTATAAAATCAAATCGTTTGATAAACTAATTATGTAATTGATAAACTAATTATATAATTAATAAATTAATTATGTAATTACCTGATTTATATTAAATGACTTAAAAAATATATAATATTAAAAATAGATATAACTTATTTTAACATAGTTTATTAATAAAAACATATTATTGATTCAAACAATAACTTAAATTTATTTTTAAAATTATTAAATTTAACATGATATATCAATAAAGATTATATACATTGATTTAAATATAATTTATTTTTAAATTTTTAAATTATTATTTATTTTCTTAATTTATTTTTATCTAACATAATATATTATTAATTATAAAAATACAAAAATAAAAAAGGAAAAAATTGCCATGAAAGTGAAGATAATAAGATTAATGATATGATTTTAAATATATGAATAACAAGTTGAATGATAAAAATAAAATAAAAATATTAGTAGTCAATTTTTAAAAATTAAATTTTTTTATATAATTTTTGAAAGTTAAACTCTACAAAATTCTTTTCTTTTATATTTCTTAAACAGTTCTACAAATTTATTAACTAAATCAACAAGTTACAAGTTCCTAAATAAATTACAAGTTAAACATATTCTTGATCTCATGTCAATTTATCCAAACAATTACTTTTTATTAACTA